GCCAAACCCACAGGGGCCGCAACAGACACCAGCCTTCTTCTTTTTTTTTTTTGCCTCTGGGGAACTCCCACACCTCCACCACCCGCACTCTCCCATTTTTATACCTCCACAGTAATGCTCCCCAGACACCAGTCTAGCCCAGCACATTCTCCTCCTGAATGGCTCTGCATGTGCCAAAGTGCTTCTTCTGACCGCTCTAATGCGAACGCTGCTTAAATTCACAGTAATTTCATTATTTACTGTAAGCCACTTTAAGGAGTCGTTACACCTTAGTCCCTATCTGGGCGTTATGCCAGGGATTGAGAGACGGACCTGTGCACCGCATGTGGGGGCTCGACAAAAATAGCTTGACCTCTAAAATGTCCCACCTTAAACGGTGTGTCTGGATGGAGGGATAAAATATGTTTGATTTCTGAGAGGGCATATCAATATCTCACCAGTGGGTCATGTGATTCAGGCGTAAGGGGGATGTCACTCCCGCCTCATACCTGACTGCCTTTGGGTAATTCATTCAACTTTATAGTTTCGAAAAATCTCGGAGAGTAAAAGGAGATTTAATAGTCTGTGGAGGTCACACTTCATAAGAATGATTGAGGGCAGAGGACCATGAAGCAATGAGCCTTATTCCTACCTCAAATACTTTCTACCATCTCGTGACCCTGCTCTGCAGCCCTGACAAACATCAAAACTACAGGCCTCCTCCTTCCCACACTCACATATGTTATTTCAGCTTCTCCGTCTCCAGGTGAGGCATCCAGCTTCGCTTCTGTCTCGATGTGAAGATTTGAACAACTCCCTTGCCTCCCACTGAAATAACTGAGATAAATGCTGCGGTATATTAGGGATGTTGCCAACGGCTGCATGTTTAACAAGGCAGCGGCTTGATAACTAGCGGCTTGATTATAAAAGAAAGAAGCAAAACGATGCCACTGAAAACAAAATGACTCCCTTGCGATGCACAAACTACAACAGTTCTCGAGCTTTTTTGCCTATTCAGCAGCCAAGTAAGTAAGAAGAAAGTTACACTGAACCCTAAACCAAGGCTAGGTTAAACAAAAACGTGCCAGTTGGGTTGACCTAGCCTTTAGTAAGAGATAGTGAGAAGCTGCTAACAGCCCCTACCCCATCCGAGGGATGAAACTTAGGCGTGAAAGAGGGCAAGCAGCAAGGCATTAAAAAAGGCTCTCATGAGAATAAGACACACGAGATCCTTAAAGGCAGAGCTTTTTTCTCTGCTTTTAATTGCAAGGGAGGTTAGGAATGTTCTGTGACCCCTCCACAGCCTATTACAGGTGATGACCACCACCTGCTCACTCTTTAAAATAGAAAAGGGAGATGTGGAAAGATGCAGTGAATTCTTCAGAGGGCACTTAGTTAAGAACTTTCCACTCTTGCCAGAAGCAACAATCGCTTTATGCATCTTGTTTACCAGGTAGTGTTCTGAATTTGTCTGCTGAAAACAAAGCCACAATCATTCTCTGGATCTTGATCTCCTGTCTGACGTCGAGGTTTGATTGAGGGTGCCGTTCTGGGGGTGAGCACTGCTGTGGAAATATATGGTTCATATAACTCTGGAAGGCAACGTGAGGTGTCGCTCTGTCAAATCACTTTTCCTCTCAAGGATAACTGGCTTTGCTCTGAGAGAAGCCGTATTTCATGGTTATAATACAGCTAAAGCCACTGATGACTTCAAAACCACGCGGGGCGCTTAGAACGGTCAAAACCACTCGGAAAATGATTTAATAAAGTTGTGCGTTTTTGCGAATCTAGGAAAATAAAAGGGACAGCCGCTTGGTCTGAAATCCTCATGGACTTTTCCTTATGTGTCTTAACAGGATGAATGAGCTTTTAATAGGAATTTCTTAATTAATCCAAATGCAGAATGGAGTATCAAACCAATGAAGGACTTGTCACTCCAGCAGAGCAGCAGGTCAGCTCCAGCCTCTGCTGGGATCTTGGAAACAAGAGATATAAAGCTTCTGTGTGCAGGCTAACCACAGAAATAATGAACAGTGACTTCATTCAGCAGAAATGTGGCTTGAGCTCTAAATCCACCAATTAAAATGTTTTTTCTATTCCTTTTCATAAAATATGGAGATTAAACAGTTGAAACAGACACACAGCCTCATGTTGTGAGCCACTTGGATCCCATAGGAGTCACCTCAGAAGGTTTGGATGTCACGGGTGTTGCAATTAATTTGGTCTTTAGACTTAAGTGGAATCGTTTTACCAGGGCTGCAAAAGGCTGAAATAAAAACATACAGCTCAGCCCTTAACGAAATAATAAAAAAAATAGTATTCCTGCAAAAACTGCATATCCCCTGCTGCCTTTTATTCCAGAGTTTCAAACTAAGAGCATCTTATTAGTGATTTTGGTAAATGATACGCACAGTTTCATGAGACTTGAGGGAACTCAGAATATGTGTTGACCCTGACTCTCTACTATTACCACATTAAATTTGACCCCAGTGTCTGTGAATTTGACAAAATTATAGACATTTTTTTTGAGGGCTAACTTTTAGCAGTGGTGGCCATCTTGTATTGGGATGACACCCTAATCAATTGAAGATGTTCATCCCATGATTTTGTTCTGAAAGCTTCCTTTACATCCGTCCAATGTTCATGAGGTATCTTGTGAACTAGACAGACAAACATGCACACAGATGAGGGGAAATACATCATCATACTTATTTAACACAGTTATATGAAATTTTCATTAAAAAAATCTGCAAGTATAATTTTCTAAACATATGTTGCTTTCAAAGTAAAAAAAATGTTAAATTAAAACCTGCATAACGAAGATTTTCTATTTATTAAATTCTAGACAATCTTTTTAGTAGTCTTAATCATTTCATAAATCTTTTATGTTATTTTAAACATTTCAATTTCAAAATTCCACGTTTCCAGGCTCAATTTTTAATTTTGAGCCAATTTTCAGGCCATTCAAAACAAACCTGTCATGTAATAAATGAAAAGTAAGCAAAACCACCTTTGAATGAAACCTGTTTATGGTCGCATGATGCCTTTGAGTTCTTATTTACAGGGTTTAAATATATGATACAACATAAGGTCAATTTTCTAAAACTACATTTTACACCAGAATGCAATGCAAAAAGCAGCATATCAACCAGACCAACACATACATGATGTGTAACATGTGGCAAATTACAAGTTTAGATAGAACATATTAAAACTTTACTTGCTTCACAAAGCTTTTTAAAACATAAAAACTAAACACACATTCACAGTTTACATAAGTTTTAAAACACATTTATTTTCCTATTCATATTTAAGTTTTGATGTTTTAGAAACTGAATAAGGAAAAAAAGTCTAGAAACAAATAATTTTGTTCTTTCAGGGATGAAGATGTTCACATCCTAGACAGAGAGGAACGATGGTTTGAGAGAGGAGTAAAGGAGGCCATCTTTGTGAACAGAAACCGTCCATCATTAAACAGGGGTGGAGGCCTCCGGGTTCAACTGTCCCCCTCTTACAATGCTGTGATTGCTAGTATCACTCAGCCCTCTGTGAATAGTAAACAGCCATCAGTGTGCTATCGGTCGTGGCTGTCAACAACAAATTGGTTGATCCACTATGAGAAGTTTATAAGACTGAGTTTGTTGCAGCTCCTCAGACTGAAGAAGTCTTTTGAATAAAAGATGAAACGTTTCAACAATTTTTAATTTTTTTTAATCCGTCCAGAGGACCTCGCTTACTTTGTTAGATTTTTCTACCTGGATTATTGAGCATGAATCAGGATATCTAGAAACAAATGGTTTTTTGTTCCATTCTTTTTGTTTCACTTTCCATACATATTCAAGCCCCATCTACAATCAGGACGCCCCTTAGACTACCGCTATTTTCTTTCTCGGTTTGTGAAAATGCTTACATTAAACTAGAGAAAAGAAACTCTAGCTTGACTTGAAATAAAAACAAAAACAGCTGTAGTTCTTTTTTATACTATGCACAACGTCCTTGTAGCTCCACATAGAGTTTCATGGTGACACACATGGTCAAGAAAAAACAAGACAGATGTAGAAAATACACACACACACAAAAAAAACCCTACATATTTGTCTGGGTTTCTAAAGCATAAAGTGACAGTGGGCGTGCAAAAATTAGGTTTCTATGTTACTCGTTCTGAAACCTTTCTATTTCCAGTCCACAATGAGACATCAGAAACTGAGCTTTTCAAAATGCACACTTTGAAAGTCTTCTGGACGGTTTATTTTTGTTGAAACGTTTCGTCTTTCATCCAAAAGACTTCATCAGGCCGAGGACAGTACCTATTTAGGGGAGGGGCGGACTCCAGAAACCATCTGAGCATCTTCAAACTGGTTAACCCACTATGAGAAGGTGTTATTTATAAGACCGAGTTTGTTGCAGCTCCTCGGACTGATGAAGTCTTTTGGATGAAAGATGAAACGTTTCAACAAAAAGAAACCATCCAGAGGACCTGACTTAACTTTGTTAGATTTTTCTACCTGGATTATTGAGCATGAATCAGGATACTTTAAAATTCAGTTATTTTAGCCTAAACATCAGTTTGTGTGTGACTTACAAAGTAAAAGCAACTTCCATACTTTTTAAAACTGCGTAGCAGCCCAGTAAATGGGATATATTGGAAATGTTTCCTTTGGTTTAACGTCAAAAACATAGCAACTGTTCTTGTCGGTCACACGTTACTGTAGATCTCTGAAACAAATGGTTTCTAAGCAATTCCCAAAGCTGAGTTGTAAAAGCCTGACTTTTCATTGCTTTGTGTTTGGAACAGTGAGTCTGGTCCTATTTGCTTACCTGAGCCTGATCTCGTTTGAAACAACCTTTCCAATCATACCTTTATTGCACTGAGCCTGGAGAGCCCCCTCTTTAATTCTTTTTCCATTTGCTTTGTCCTAACAGTGTGTGACTTTAATTTGTATTTTATTGCAAACATAAAGTTGATCAGTCTATTAGACAGTTGAAACAGTTCCCAATCGCTGAACGGAGTAAAGACATACCAGTGCAGTGGTGTCAGCGCCCATCTCGATCTTCCCTTCAAATGGTCCCCAGGTCGTTCCCACAGGAAGCTGCCGTCGGCTGTGGATCCGACGCTCGCCATCTTTAAGGAACGCATCCAGCTCTCCTGTAAAACACACACCAGGATCCAAAATGATCAGCCTACATGACCCAGAAGTTCTGCTTCACATCTAACTCATGCCTTTTTTCCCTAAACAGGCAGTACAGTGATTGCATCAAGGTTTGACTTGAACGGTGGGGGTTAAAGCCCAGCATTTTCCAAAGTGGCTAAGCAAATGGAATGAGCACCCATCTGATGGTGTTCCTCAGACCCGTGGTGCGCTAACCTTATTTGAAAGGTGTCTCGTGTGGAGATAATCTCAGTGAGACAGTGCAGGCTCTCTGGCTGGCGAGAGCAGCGAGTGGCAGGCCTATTTCTGCTGCTGCAGGAAGGCAGAGCCTTGTTAGTGCTGTGCAGAGCTCCAGTTAATTAACAGTGGGACTGGACCGGTGCTCACCTCCCTCACACCCCCAGGTATTTTATCTCTTAGATGCAGTATACTTTCTCAGGATGGTGATTAATCAAAGAGTTATGATAAACCTCTTGGCAGGCTGTGGCATTGTTTACAGAGGAGGATGTTTCCCTTGAGTGTATGTGTGTGTGTGTACGCACGGCACAAAGAGGAAATATGCAACTCCCAACTGTGCATGTCAGACTGGTTGCCTTGACAACACTGTAAAATCTTGTCTGAATTCAGACATCTTTAAGTGAGCTTAGATGTTTTAAACTCTGTCTCAAACAAAATAATTATTATATTGCTGTAAAACTTTTTGAAACAACTCATTTTAAGTCAAAGGCTTTGTATGGCTTGAACACATCAATATTATCTGCTCATCTAACAAAGTCATGTTCATACCTTCAAAGTAACAGAACAGTATGTCTTGTGAATGACTCATCTACGGTACTTCCACAATAATTTTAGCTCACTGTCTGTAAAATTGACCGAATGAGTTGTGTGCCCTTTTAGTGTTGGCCTAGATTGATTTGCTGTGGTGGCCATCTTGAATTTGATCGACTCTAAGGGTGCATTCACACCTGATAGTCCGGTAGACTCGGTTCGGGACCAATATTCATGACATTTGTTTACATTTGAGCTGGTGCATTTGCATTCACACTGCACTGTGCAGTCGAGTCAACCTGTTGAACCAACCTATTTCCCCGCTCCCCTGTGGGGGCGCTGCACCAAGAACTACTGAAAGAAACAACACAAAAACCTCTGAAGACACATCTTCTTCTTCTTCTGGAAATAAAAACAAAAACGAAGTGGCATCAAGTTTTAGCAGTTTTAGGAGTTATATTTTGTCATTTTTCGAAAATGGACTTAGCATGAGCAGAAGATGAGACAGAAGACCATGGAGAATATTGTTTTTCCACACAAGGCAGCTGACGGCTCCATATAAGGTCAGAGAAATGCGTGTTTGTTTACCCTGTGGAGCGGGGCCGCTCTGTTTCCATTCACACTGTACTCGAACGGCGCTGGAGTTCTCTTCTACCGGACCGAGACCTAGGTTTTAGCCCAGGCCAGAGTTCGCCTTTTTGTTCCGTGACAGAGTTCGATGGCGCGTTCACACCTCCCTAAACGAACCGGACTTTCTAGGAAAACGAGCTAGAGTTCGATTAAAGCGGACTAAACAGGGCTGGTGTGAATGTACCCTAAAAGACAATCAGTTGTAGATGTACTTCTTTAAATAACTTCATTAAAATCTGTTTATTGGTTCACTGCTGGTCCATTGATTTGATAAACTGGATCTATTATTTATAACCACAGCCTGAGAATATGCACTTTGTTCAATTTTTTATTTGATTTAAGGGCTATTTTTGGTTTCCAGACAGGTTCCACATAAAAGCACACTTTAGATGTAGTAGAATTAGTTAATCTGTATCAACGTTTGAAGATGGCTCAACGTTGGCTAAAATAGGAATAACAGATGCAAGAAATTGACATTTGATAAATAACGTTTTAAAGAGTCTGTGACAAAGTAGATGTGTTAAGAGGATGGTGAACTTGCATTTATCAGTGAGACCTGGAGGTTTCCACTAGCTTCAATTGCCCCAAGAATCAAATGGCGAGAGTTCAATGCCAAGCTTAAGGATAAACAAGAAAGCATAAAGGAATCACTTCAAATAACTATTAACCTGTCTCTGTGCTGAGCTGTTTTGGTTGCAACAGTTGGTTTTCTTGTGTGTTGCATTACTGCCATGTGCGGCTGTAAGATTTTCAGATATTCTGTCCGCTTGAGTAGTTTTCATTGAACATGCACAATATATTGTCAGAGTCAGAAGTCAAAGCACCTTAGATGAATATGTTGATTATTGTTCAGTGGATTTCACTTGTAATGGTTTGCCATGGATGCCTGTAGTTGAAATGGGGTCCTTGAGTGTCAGTACCCAGGGGGCCCTTGGGGTCTTTATTTTGCTTAATATTTTTTTTTTTTTTTTTTTTTCATTTAGCCTTTATTTATCCAGGTTAGTCTCATTGAGCCACGAGAACTCATTTTCAAGAGAGACCTGTTTAGGGAGCACATGGTGGGGGTTAAGGGCCTTGCTCATGGGCCCAGAGTGGGGTGAATGAGGGTGGGGGCAAGTGTGGGTGTTTCACCTACCCCACCCACAATTTTTTTGATGTTGTCGGGGCCGGGGCGTGAACCGGCGATCTTCGGATCACAAGCCCACCTCTCTAACCTCTGCGCCACCACTCCCCCACTATATGAGTTTGTTTTATGCTATAGAGTATGAGGAAATCAACTAGCTAAATAAACATAAATGTTCTTTCAATCTGGCAAATATCCATCCATCCATTATCTTTTACCCACTTCTTTCTTTTTGGTTCGTAAAGTTCACTGGTGCCCGTATCCAACAGTCACTGTGCGAGAGGTGGGAGACACCCTGGACAGGTCTCGAGTCCATCACAGGGACACATAGAGACAAATGAGACAAACAACCATTCACTCTCTCACTCACACCTAGAGACAATTTAGAGTTACCAATCAGCCTAACATGCATGTTTTTGGTCTGTGGGAGGAAACTGGAGTACCCAGAGAAAACCCACACATGCACAGAGAGAACATGCAAACTCCACCCAGAAAGGTCCCTGGCCAGGATGTGAACTGGCAACCCTCTCGTTGAGAGGCAACAGCTCTACTAACAGCGCCATCATGCCGCCAATCTGGCAAATATTACTAATACTAATTATTATGCTATGACGTGTTGTTAACATGTTTCTTTTAACCTGTTTGGTAACACACGAGGTATTCAGGGCACTGGACTGATGCTGAATGGGCTCCAGTGATCACTGAACTTTGTGATATGTTAGAATGACCTATTCAGCTCCAGCCTCCTCTGTAAATATCAACCGTGTATCTGCAACGCCATTGTGCTCGTCTGTTGTGTTCGTATGGTAATGTGTGCTTATGTGCTACTTTGCATCTATAAACACCATCGGGCCTGGGTCTGGTGTTAACACCCACTACGAATGACACGCACTGATCAAATACTCATCAATGGTGGTCAGTGCTGGAACAATAAAAAGGTAAATGTCACCCTTCATAAAAATAGATTTGACAGACTAAATCTTTGTTAAATGAAGATACAGAACCAGTGAAACGCCAGCTCATAAACTAAAAACGTATTCATGATTTAGAGATTGTACAGCCTCAGCGTTGCCCTTAAAATTAGATATTCTCGACAGCTGTAGATCTCATTCTTATTCTTCGCCTGCATCCTGTGCCCCCCATCTCTTGTTCCTGCTGTTGCATGTTGTCCTCCCTGGTGCTGCAGTGGAAGGTGGGTAAGCTCATTACCGAGAAATAATTAAACATTGGTGCACAGCTGGCCGTCATCACTGAGAGCAACAGCCACTGCTTGATGCATTCTGTTTGTCCTCAGATAAGACCCACGGCCTTTACCCGCTTGGATGCAAGTTCCTGCTTAGCCCCATTTGACACAAAACACAAGCCCTCTCCTGCCAACAACTCCAGCTTTTATTTCAATTCAGAGGTAGGGCAGTTGGAGTAAAAAAGGGGGTGAAAAGTAGTGTAGGTGTGAGAAGGACAGGGTGTTAAAACGCAGTTTGTGTGGATTGTGGTCGACCACGTTTGGGTGCCAGTTGTGTGCATCGCCCACCAAATGTTGCCTGAGGACCTTGGCTCACAGATGGCTTGTCACATCTGTTACAGATACAAGTGTAAGATCGCCACAAAACACCCATGGATGAATAATGAGTTCCCCTCATAAACTGTCTGCATGTTCTTTATGAACTTTTACATTTTACTTTCACTAAAACACCCTAATTCAACCATATGTGTCATTGCAAACTTTTCTAATATTTGCTGCAAAAATAATTCAATTTCAGGACCCCAAATCTTAGATGCATTGCCTAGAAATATATAAACAAATACAGGTCATTGTTTACCTGCTGTCAGAGTTAAATGCTGCTGCCAGAGTCTTAACTGGAGTTAGTGGGAGAGATCATATCTCTCCAGTTTTAGTTTCTCTCCATTGGCTTCCTGTCAAATCCAGAATTTAATTCAAAATCTTACTTCTAACCTACAAAGCGCTCAACAACCTAGCTCCATCTTATAATAAAGATCTAATTGTTCCATATTTTCCTAACAGAGCACTTCACTCTCAGACTGCAGGCTTACTTGTGGTTCCTAGAGTTTACAAAAGCAGAATGGGAGGAAGATCTTTCAGTTATCAGGCTCCTCTCTTGTGGAACAAACTTCCAGTTTCTGTCCGTGAGGCTGACACATTGTCCAGTTTTAAGACTTTCCTTTTTGATAAATCTTATAGTTAGGGTTGGCTTGTTATGCAGCTATAGGCTTAAACTACTGGAGGACAAACTGACCTCTTTTCCTTAAAATATTTACTAAAATTGAATAGTTTTCATTTGATACTATTTCTATCTTAATATGCGATTCTTGACCTGCCATTGTGTATCTGTTCCTCCCAAACCCAGCCGGTCGAAGCAGATGGCCACTTGTCCTGATCCTGGTTCTGCTAAAGGTTTCTTCCTCATGAGGGAGTTTTTCCTTTCCACTGTCGCCTTCATGCTCAAGATGAGAGTT